CAGGGAAGGGACAGAATAAGTACAGTGAGATGAAAAAAATAAGAAGAATGCTAAGAGTACATCACCCCTTACATAAGGGGTGACATAATAGCCAAGTGGCTCCTTCTCATTGGATGAGTGCCGAGGCCCCACATGTGGGCCGAGGTGCCCCTCCAATGAGGAGGTGCCACTTGGACATTATGTCACCCCTTGTGTAAGGGGTGATGTACCTGTAGCAAAACCGATTTATTATTTAGACAGCTCATAAATAGTGACAAAAAAAAGGTACTACAATTCCGGTCGTCACGTGGTCCAACATCTAGAAACAGTACAGACCAACAGAATTTAGGATTATTCTACGTGTACAGGGAATATTGTACAGGGGGTGCTGCCTGTGGTTGATTTTTTTTATTTTGTTTGCCATTGCCCAATGAAATTATGCCACGTCCTCCCTGCAGTGGATATGGCTGCTATTTTCCTTGTACACCAAGCAATTCTCATCTAGAAGTTGAAAACTGTGCATCCTTTTACATTATTGATCAATAATTGTTAATTTATGGGACCTTCTTATTTTATCATTATTTTTCTAAAACTCTTTTTTTCTTCAATTTATTATCAATTATATATTTTTAGAGAATGTATAATAATAATCAAATTTTCAACCATGTAGTTCTTAATTTTTTTTTTTTATGAAAACTTACGAAATAATTGATTTTTGAAATAGAATAATTAAAATTTTACAAATTAAACGAGATATACGCTCCACATGGGTACCTACCCGACCTCATCCCAACTGCTTTTAAGCAAGGATATGGACTATATTAATTACAAGGAGGGCCTTTCTAACCCTGTCACATTGTCATACTCATCTCAAAAAATTTGTATAATCTAATCTCATATTTCAACAAGCAATAAAATAGTTGCTTTCCAAGTTCTAGATTTAACTTCTCCAATTACCTGATGTTAAAATACCAAATAAATTAATTTATTTTCCTTGCTAGTCATTCGTTATTCTACGATAAACTCCTCCATTCTTCATGTTAACTTTATTCGAATTTTTTATTAAGAGCTTGTCTGGGAGAGATTTTTGGGGGAA